GCGGGGCTGGAGGAGGGGGCGCCCCCTTCCCTGCATTGCCCCGCACCTGAGCGTCCTCCTGCCGCCCAGCCCACAGGGACCCCCAGGCTGCTCGGCGTTTCCTTCTCCTCCCCCAGTTCTCCCCGCCTCTCCCGGGTCCCTATGCGCACTCATCTCCCCCACGCGGACCTCGGCTCTGTCCCTGTTAGGGGTTCAAATCCCGGCCCTGCCGCCGAGTAGCCGAGGACCTGGAGTAAGTTACTCCCTTCCCCGGGCCGCTCTCCTCGGGGCGGGTGGGGGGACGGCAGGACCTCTCCCGGGACTGGGGGCGGCCTCACTGGGCGCCGTGTCCCGCACACGGCTGCCGCTGTCGGGACTCCGGGCCAACACCTCCCAACGGCGGGTCGGTGGCACCTTTGTTCCCATCGTGTCCCTCAGAATGAACACTATTACCCTCCGCGCCGAGGAGGAAGGAGGGATGGAGACCTGGTCCCAGCCCCGAATCAGTACCGAGACCCCAACATCCGTGCCCTTCCGCGCTGCCATAATTTCTTTCCGAAGGTTAACGTCTGGCATTAAGATGACTTGTTTGACGCCAGGAAACCATTTCTGATGACATCCTGTTCCCACCGCAACCCGGCCAAGGAGCTTTTCCACGACATGAACGGGAGTGCACAGCGGGGGGCTGACCTCGAACGTGAAGCCGGTCTCAGGACGCGCTTCCAGGATGACTGGCGGGAGGACGGGCGTCCTGCTCTGCGGTGCTTCCCCCCGAAAGTGGGTGCTGACCTGGGGGGGGGTCACCCTCGTGTTAGGAACCAGGACCCCGACATTCTCTGAAAATCTTACATTGATCAAGAAATGGCAGATCCGGGAACCAGATTTATAGACTAGGAAAGAGGGGAGTTAATTTGTTTTATTTCTATCCTTCAAGATTGTGTATTTGTGTGTGTGCGTTGCGTGTGCGCGTGTGTGTGTGCATGTGTGTGTGTGTGTTTGGACAGTTCAGACTGTTTCAATAGGAGTGCTTTAGTGCTCCATGTGCTTAGATTCTTTTTTAAAAAATATTTTTAAAAATTTATTTCATAGAGACAGAGAGAGGGAGAGGGAGAAGGAAACATCAATGATGAGAGAGAATCATTGCTGGGCTGCCTCCTGCACGCCCCACACCGGGGATTGAACCCACAACCCCCACATGGGCCCTGACTGGGAATCGAACCATGACCTCCTGGTTCATAGGTCAATGCTCAGCCACTGAGCAATGCCCGTCAGGCAGATTCTTGAACTTTGTGGGTTTTCCCATAATATGCTTTATCAGAAAAATATCCCATGGTGCCACTTTCCTTCTTATGTGCATGGAAGAAATTTGTGTCCTCTTCCCCTTTAGTCAACAACTGTAAGAGAGTTAAACATTAGTAATAATTAGGGACTTTTATGTGGCGCGGTGATTAGGAGGAAGGGCTTGGAGAGTCCGATGGTCCTAAATTTAAGTCCCAGCTCTGTCGTTTACTGACTATGATCTTGGACAAGTAACCGCCTCATTTCCCTCCAAAACAAGGCTAAAAACTATAACTGACTCGGCGTGGAAAGATTTAAATAGGTGATTTAGGAAAGAGCTTCCTTAGTGTCGTGCCCGGCCCGTAACGGTACCCGGACACGAGCATCCATCATCATTACGCGCAGTGCTGTTCTGCTGCTGACACTGGGTGACACCTGATCTTCTGTGTATCCGACAGGTGCCAAGAATATTTGTCAACGGGACTTTTATTGGAGGGACACCGACACCCACAGGCTCCACCAGGGAGGGAAACTGCTGCCACTGGTTCATCGGTGTTATTGACAAAAAGCAACAAGCATTTCGGCGACAGTGTTTGAGGATGTCTCGCTATGTGAACAGTCTTCGTGAAAACGTTAAAATGATGAACAATAAATCGCTGTGGAAACCTCACCTTCCTGCATGCCATTTTTTTTTTTTTGAGCAAAGGAGGTGGTGTTTAAAACTGGAGGATGGGAGTTGTGTCCAACGAAAAGGAAAGAATGTGTTTTATTGGGAATTTATATATGAATTTTACAGATTTGGCGTTCTTTATTATGTATACCATTCAGAAGGAGTTAATGCCTTACCTTTTACAGGGTTTAGTGATGAGGGTTGATGTGTAATTTCTCTTTAAAATGTAAGGGACCGCTGGGGGTAGGGGCCGCAGGCAGTTGGCTGGCCCCGCCCTCTGCATATTAGCCTTTTATGATAGAGGAGGATTGGTAGGATGGAATGAAACTTATTCCAGAAAAACAAAATCACGCATTTGAGGACTTAGTGGTTCCAAAGAACAGAACTGTACCTGTGGGCAGTGTGAAAAGAGAGAAAGCAGGCCCACATCACCAACCGAGACCTCACACCCAAGACCTAAACTAACTGCAGCTTCGGCCCCTCCCAGAAATGCAAAGGTAGCCGGTCAGCCTGGAATCTCCCCGTCAGCACATGGGGAGGGGTCCCCCCTGGAGAGCCTGCTCCCCCAACTCTCCGCTGTAAGCTTCCTTTCTCAGCCCTTCTGCCCATCAAAGCCTTCCATTCCGTGCAGCTCTTCAACAGAAATGAGGAGGAGGAAAAGGTCAGCCTCGTGTCAAACAATTCAGAAACGTACTGGAGTTACTATTGGAGCCTAGGAAGCGTGTTCCTGGACGATCCCACAGTCCCAGGGACCGATGACCAGATGCTGGGATGAGAGAAGCTACCCAGAGAGAGGAAAACCGATTGTCAGAGAAGTGGGGTGCTTCTGCCCTGGGGTCAACATGGACCAGGGGACCTTGGGACAGTCTGGCGGGAGACAGCTGGCGGCGGCGTGGGCTCCCTACGCGGGTTTATGAAATTGCCACTGGGGGGCCCGATGAAGCAGGAACTGGGACTGTTTCATCCTCACGTGATCCGTTCTAACTCTGGAATGCAATGCAGGGGAACCAAAGTTTGGCCACCGTGGAGCTGCTTTTGGGGTATTGATTTTCAGCTGCTTATTAGAAAACAAAAGACTCAGAACTTTTGACTCTTCCCCCCCTTTCCTGACCAAGAGATTCAGGGGGACCTGAGGATGCCACCTTCGCCGAATCTGCATTAAGTGTGGACGCAGAACAGGGCTTTGGGGGTGCCTGTCAGCCAGATACCCCAGGTCCCACCGTTTCCCAGTCGCCAAGCGGGGATTTTCCCGCCACGTGTGTGCAGCTCTGCCTCAACTCGTGGAAACCCCCATCCTCGCTTCTGAAATCTAAGGCCCCATTCTTCTCTGTGCAAATGTCCGACACACACAGCGAACGGTGCCTGTTGGGCAGGGGGGCGGGGTGGTCATGCCTACGTGAATCCCCGCGCGCGCGCGCGGGTATTAAACTTTGATGCTCTCCCGTGGGCCCGTCCCTGTGCATTTGCACGGTGTGGAGGAGGGGACTTCTGCAAAGCCAGGAAGGATGGGGCGGGCGGCCAGGGGAACCATCAAGTGGGAGAGGGCTGGACCTTTGCGCCCCATCCCCACCTTCAGGGAGGGGTAAGGGCTGGAAGAGGGACTTCAGGGATGACTTACTCACCCTGTGGGGTGAATCCCCCATAAAACCCCAAAAGGACGGCTGTGCAGAGCTTCCGGGCTGGTGCACCCCTGAAGGCACCAGGCTCTCCCCTGCACATGCGCACTGTGCTCGCTTAGGAATCGGCACAGGGAGGGAGGAAGGATAACTTACAGAACAAGTATGACAGCCCTGGCCGGTGTGGCTTAGTGGACAGAGCCTCAGCCTGCGGACTGCAGGGTCCCAGGTTCGATTCCGGTCAAGGGCACATGCCCAGGTTGCCAGCTTGATCCCCAGTGTGGGGCGTGCAGGAGGCAGCCGATCAATGATTCTCATCTTTGATGTTTCTATCTCCTTCTCCCTCTCCCTTCCTCTCTGAAATCAATAAAAATATTAAAAAAAAAAAAAGTATGACCAAGCCCCGTATTAACAACACGGGGGGCTGGGCCCGCTCTCAGGCTCAGGGTCTCACCGCCCTCACTCACCTCGTCACACACGAGCGGCACTTCCCGGCTCCTCTCGGGCGCACCCCCATTCCCAGCATCACTGTTCCTGCCCGTGGGGCCGCGGGTGACTGGAACAAGGGTGACCGCCCGCAGCACCGAGCCTCCGCCACAGTCCACCTGCCCAGGCGCGGCCACGACGTGACGCACGGGCAGGAGTGTACGCAGGGGAGGACCTCGCGATATTTCATCGCGCGAGATTTCACCACGCGAGCTTTCACCGCACGCCCAGACCAGCGCGCAGGTGGCCCGGTGCATGGGTTCTTCCTGCGGTTTTTCCATTGGATGTTTCCGGATGCGAGGTGACCGCGGGTAAGGGAAACTGCAGGTGAGCGTGGGGCTGTCGCAGGGCCCGGTTGTGGACTCGGCCCGGGTTTGCCCAGGTCCCAGCTCGCATTGTATGGGCGACTTCTGTTTCTTCTCCCTCCCCGTGCCTTTGCACGGCTGCTAGACGTTACGGTCCACGGGATGGGGGAGACAACAGACGTTTATTCCCCGTTCTTCTGGCGGCTGGGACGTCCGAGATCGAGGTGCCGGCTGATTGGGTTCTTGCCAAGGCCTTGCTGTGTCTTAGTGGCAGAGAGAACGCAAGCTCTCAGCCATCCATCACCAGGGCTAAGGCCCGGTTACCTCCCAAAGCCCTTCTCAAACACCATCGCATTGGGGGTGAGGGTTTCAACAGTAAATGTTGGGGAGACACATTCAGTCCGTAACACCTTCCAGCTTGATGAAAGTATAGAATGTAAGAAGAAACTGGGTGGGAACCTTTTTTCCCCCAGAACCATAGGTTAGAAAGCATGACCAGTTTAAGAAAAGTGTTAACTTTTTTTCTCAGTCCTCTTATGTTTAATGTTAAGATCTGAAAGATAAATTGTTTACTGAGGCCCACTAATATTTTAAAAAATAGGCCATTTGTTTTCTCATTTTATCACGAATTTACACTTAAACTTCCAATTATCTAATTGGGAAGCTGGAAATCTGTTGAGGAAAAAAGGTGTCTTTGGTTTAAATGTATCTGGATTTTATTGTGTTCTAACTAACCCTATATAATAAAAGCCTAATATGCTAAGTGTCTAGTTATTTGTTCAACCAATCAAAGCATAATATGCTAATGATATACTAAGGCTGCTCAATCGCTCACTATGATGTGCATTGATCACCAGGGGGCAGTCGACTGTCGACCAGTCACTGTAATATACACTGACCACCAGGGGGCAGATGCTCTGACCAGTAGGTTAGCTTGCTGCTGGGGTTAGCTTGCCAATCAGGACTGAGCGATACAGGCTGGACCCTGGAGCCCTCCCACAATCCCTCCCCAGCCAACCTTCGGCATCCTTCCTGCCCCGATTGTGCACTGGTGAGGTCCCTTGGCCTGCGCCCTCTCACAATCTGAACGGGGATGTAGGAGAGTTGGTTTCGGCCCGATCCCGCAGGCCAGGCCAAGGGACCCCACAGGTGCAAGAATTTGTGACCGGGTTTGAAAACGTGATAAATTCCTTAGTATAATATATACTAGGCCTCTAGTATATATTATAAAAGACACCATATAAGCAATATTTTTAAAGTCAAGTGTTCTTCATAAGGTTTAAGGTTTTAAGTCGTTTTCTTCATCTATGGAGAAACGTATGGTTTTTGATCTTCCTTTCTCCATACAACTGTTGACTATCATCTTTAAATAGAGAACTATAAAATCAACCTAATGTTCAAAGTTGTGGTGGGTATATTCTGCTGTAACTTGATTTCACCCTCTGCCTAACTTCCAGCTCCAATCTTAGAAATTTTCAGAAAAAATTTATGGGAATTCAGATAGAAATTTCTGCAAATTGGCACTGAAACAAAAGGTTTATTTGCATAGCTGACTTTTGCTGTCAACTTTCCCCAAAGGCGATTTTGAGTAGATTTTTTTACACACAAAAAAATCCTGTTTAAAAGTCTTAAGAAAGTGCATTTTGATTAAATCCAGTAGTTTTGGTCCTATAATTGAAACCACATATATTTTAAATAAATACTTATACACAATAGTATGTAAAGAGGCACTGTAAGGCCAGTGTTATCAAAACCTTATCTTCATCTTATTCAAATATAACAGATCACTAAAAGCCTTAAAATTTATAAGGCATATGATAATCTTAAAATTCTTACTTCTTTAAAGAAATAGAAAGACGATTATTGGAAGTGCATAGACTTTATTTGGTACTTCTAGCAACATCTACAATGATACAACTGACCAGCAACAGCTTGCATAGTGCCCACCTGCATCCGTGTCTAAGATGATTTTTTCAGTATGGTATTTTGCAAAGATAGAAAATCAGGATTTCACAGTATGGGTGAAATCTGTTTTATCATGAAATAAATTTAATACATTAGTATTTCTTCCATTTTCTGTCAGAAAACAGCAAAATTACATTGTTAGGTATTTTATTTACACTGAAAACTTGGAAGACTCAACAAAGCATCAGTGAGTTTATCAACAGACCTAGGACCCCCCCCCATCCCCACCTCCTTCTGGGTCCCTGTCCTTTTAAAATGACTTGTTATAAATTGAAATGATATACTTTTAAGCACCAGCTTGACAATTTAAAGTTTTCTTTCAGTTTTATAAAAGATTCCTGCTTCGAAAGGCAACGTGAATGTAAAAATGTGAATGTAATCAAACAAATCACAATAGTCGTAATGTTTTTACAGCTACATTCACTCATTTCATTTTGAATGAAATTTGCTTGTAGGCTCGAAACAAAATATTTTTGTCTTGAAAAATCCCCTTAAAAAATTAACCATTTTTTTTTGGAACTGTATAACTTTTTTTATTCAGTGTTTAAAATACGGTATGCAAATTGGTCCTTAGAGATGTTACATAAAGTCCAGCTTCTTGGATAATTTGTTATATAAAACAATAAAAAACCTCAAACTACCACAAAATAGTACTGATGTTAACAGTCACGTATGTAGTAACACACCAGTGCCCCAGGTTATCCTGTTCATGGGTGCTTCCACTACAAACGTACGACCGGGTTTGAAAACGTGATAAATTCCCATTCATGACGTCAGAGTGGAAGCTCTCAAAGACCCTGTGAGTTCTGTATTTCGGAAACACCAACACTATTAAGGCACCACTTACTGAACAGACCCTTGGAAAGGAACCAGTATGCCTGCGTTGGAGAGCTAGTCAGTCATGTTGTAAGGCAGTCCAAAGGATCATGTTTTTCACTTTAAGGCTCTTGTACCCCTAACTTTTGTTCTGTGCAGGCATTAGTCAGTGTAATTTAAATATTCCTCAAGTGGTCAATTACGGAAATCAAAGCCTTTACATAAAGCACATGCACATTTAGAACTAGGTAATGCCCCTCCCCCAACCAATTAAAGAAAGCTCTCATATATATCTCATCCCTTTGGACAACTTCTTATCAGAAGTTGTCCATTAAAAGGAATAGAAGTCACATGCTCTATAAAAGTTAGGTCAAGTCACGCCATACCAAATAATCCATATTTAGAATAGTGCAACAAAATCATTTTTTCCTCGCTATTCATCAAATATACATAATATTTAAATTTTAATTTGGCTGGTATGGATTCTAAACAGTTTACATTGCAAATAAAGCCTAACAAGTAATTTAAACAGAAGTTTCCATTCAGTGTTTGTATTGATACACTATCCATCACTTATGTGGTGATAGTAATAAAATAGCAAGCCTTTAACCTCAGTCACTATCCTTAATAATCCAAGTGTTCATTAAGCGAAACCAGCAGCAACATAGCTACCTTACTATTTATTTCTTTTGTGCAAGCACAGATTCTGATAATTTCTAAAACTACTAAAAGTTAAATGTATTTTAAAATTAAATATCGTCACGTATTTCTACAATTAGTATGACTCGTGGTGAACAGAAGCAAAGGACAATCACTTTCAGTTCAGAAATAGCTTTTGTGTATTTTCATTGTATTTACAAAATTAATTCTCATTGAAAATTATCAACTTAATTTCAGTAATAGAATTTTGTAATATAACTACTCTAGCTTATGCTTCTTTCTACCAATTTCCAATATAATTTGGTATTTTCAGGGTTTAGGGAAATGTGTCATTTATTATAATTTTATTCAGAATTTATGCTAAACTATATTAGTTTTTTTCACAAAAAACATTACTGCAGGATTATTTTTAAAATTATCTTCATAATAAGTTTTTAAAAATAAAGCTCACTAATTTTAAAAAAGGGTTTAAGGTAAATACATGCCATTTAGAAAACTTTGTTTGCTACAAGCTTAGTGAAGTACTTAGACCAAAGATTTTGACAGTGGTCTCTACAATTATGCAAATATGAAGATTGAAACATACTATTTTCTGAAAGAGTATTCAGTTACTTATTTTTCCAAGAGTGCAAATATCTAATACAAAATGTATACAACATAACTTGATTTGGGGAGAATATATCAATATATTGTTCCAAGAGGCCTATCATTAATTTGAAAAAAAATATGGCCTGGATGGTGTGGCTTAGTGGTTGAGCGTCCCATAAACAAAAAGGTCAGGGTTCGATTCCTGGTCAGGGCACATGCCTGGGTTACGGGCTCCATCCCCAATGGGGTGGGGGGCGATATGCAAGAGGCAGCCCATCAATGATTCTCTTTCATCACTGATGTTTCCATCTCTCTCTCCTCTCCCTTCCTCTCTGAAACTAATAAAAAAAAGAAAAAAATGATCTTAAACCTATTTACAACACAAAGCAATCTGCAAAAGATTCATCCCAAATCTAAATGCGGGTGATTTTTCTACCATTCATTTTATTACCCAGATAGAGCAAGACTAGAAAAAGAAATGACAAAAATGTCAGGAGTTTTTATAAGAAAAATAGAGGTATAACATGTAGTCTTCCAACAAAGAGATTAGGTAGTATCAGGGAAATAGTAAAGAAAATCCATACATTAAACGCAACTAATTCATAGCTTACCTTATCTTTTTTTCCTAATTGTTCCTTGAGCATGTTTACATTGAGGCTACATGACAATCTCCAGAGCAGCGGTTCTCAACCTGTGGGTCGCGACCTCTTTGGGGGTTGAACGACCCTTTCACAGGGGTCGCCTAAGACCATTGGAAAACACATATATAATTACATATTGTTTTTGTGATTAATCACTATGCTTTAATTATGTTCAATTTGTAACAATGAAAATACATCCTGCATATCAGATATTTACATTACGATTCATAACAGTAGCAAAATTAGTTATGAAGTAGCAACGAAAATAATTTTATGGTTGGGGGTCACCACAACATGAGGAACTGTATTAAAGGGTCGCGGCATGAGGAAGGTTGAGAACCACTGCTCTAGAAGCTATTGCCTTAACTTAGTTCAAACCTGTGGTATACAAGAGTAGAATTTTTCAGTTTTGCTTATGGTACTTACTATAAGATTATCACCTCAAGAAATTCGTACTTGTGGTGCAGTATCTTTAGGTACAATTATCTCAGTGGGTGATTCTGATTTTATCATTTAGACATGGCTTTATTGTGCTTTGAATGATGCTCCTCACTTGTCAGATCAACTTTATTTAGGGATTCTCCCTTAAAATTTCCAAAATAATTT